CTCGCCCAGCAGAAGCTCCCAAGAGGCCCCCAGGAGTCCGCAAGAGGCCTCGAGAGGCCCCCAGGAAGCTCCAAGAGGCCTCCAAAAGGCGCCGAAAGGGCCCCGCAAGGCTTCCAGACGCTGGTGAGAATGACAATGATGATTATGCAGGGCGGCCTCAGGCCCACAACCTAAATCTCCAACACTGCTCACGCGGCATGCAAGACGCTGCGGAGATATCCTCGAGTTCGGCGGGGGAGCTTCGGAGACGACGGTGACGAAGATGATGACGATGATGACGACTATTATGAAGTTGACGACGACGATGATGATGATGATGATGATGATGAGGAGGAGGAGGAGGAGGAGGAGGAAGATGATGATGATGATGATGATGATGATGACAGTGGGAATGATGATGATGGTGATCGTGATGTGAGTGATGGTGATGATGATGGTGGTGATGCTGACGATCATGATGACGATGACGGTGATGCCGTTGACGATGGTGATGTTGATGATCATTATGATGATGCTGGTGATGGTCAGGATGATAACGCCGATGCTGACAATAATGGTGGCGATGCTGTTTATGGTGCTTGTGATGCAGGAGTGGGCGGATGATGAAGATGATGACGATGATGATGACGATAACGATGACGACGATCACGACGACGACGACGATAATGATGACGAGGGTGATGATGAGGATGATTATGTTGATAACTCAGGTGATGATGCTGACGATGATGACGACGATGGCGATGATGACGATGGTGATGACGATGTTGGTGCTGATGGTGGTGATGGTGACGATTGTGATGATGGTGATGGTCATGATGATCATGACGATGCCGCTGACGATGACGCCGGATATGATGGTGATGAGGATGGCGATGACGACGACGACGACGATTATCTTAGCTAGAACTTGAGCGCGCGCGAAGCGCGCGCGATGGTTCTAGTGTATATATATATATATATATACATCTGCATCCACATCTAGATGTATACATGTATAGATACATTTATACATGCATGTCGAATGTATCTGTATGTTTACATACCTTTGTGCATACATATGTACATGTATACATGCAGACATATAGACATATAAACCTATATGTACGCATATATGTGTAAGTACACCTATGAATCTACAGTTATGTTTACATCTACATGTACATATACACGAATATGCGTGTACATATACATATAAATATATAAATATATATACTTACATACATATATTCAATGGCCTTCGGCCGTTCCCGCCACCGCGTCTGGGTTGTGAGTCAGAGTCCTCTGGTATGTTTCTTGGGGCATTTTCGGAGCGCTCTCTGGGGTTTCACGGGGGCATCTGTGGGACATCTTGACAGCCTCTTGGGGGCCCTCTTGGCGGCCTCTTGGGGTCTCCTGGAGGTCTCCTGGAGGTCTCCTGGCGCCGAAAGCTTGAAATCTCTATCCAGGTCCTCCGTCGGGACCCCTTCTTGGAGCCGTCTTGGTGGCCTCTTGGGCCGTCTTGAGCGCCTCCTGGGCTGTTTTGGGCGCCTCTCTGGCCTCTTTGGGGCCCTCTTGGATGCATCCTGGGCCGTCCTGGTGCGTCGGGGAGCAACATCTTCCAAGAACCCAAGGAACACCAATGAGTTGTGCCTCCTGGGGTCCTCCTGGGGAGGCTTCTTGGAGGCGTCTTGGGGCGCTTCGGGAGCACATTGGGCCGCCCTGGGGCCATCCTGGACGTCTT